GTCACAATAGAGCTTCATTGGAGTATTGATGTTGTACCCTACTTCCTGTAGAAGGTTCCTTAGCCACACTAATTCACAAGCAGTATGCACCATAGTCCTATATCCTGCTTCTGCACTACTTCTTGCCACGATTGTCTGCTTCTTACTTTTCCATGTCACTAGGTTACCTCCCAGGAAAGTGCAATAGCCTGTGGTAGACTGCCTATCAGATACAGAATCGGCCCAATCAGCATTAGAATACCCTTCTATTTCAAGTTTTCCGCCACTTTTGTATATCAAACCGCAACCTGGAGCCCCTTTTAAGTACCTCACAATTCTCAGAACTGCATTCCAATGAGGAATCAGAGGTTTCTGCATGAACTGACTTACCACACTAACCGCAAATGAGATGTCTGGCCTAGTAATGGTTAGGTAGTTTAGTTTACCTACAAGTCGTCGGTATCTGCTGGGGTCTTCAAACACTTCACCCATATCACTGCTTAGCCTAGTATTTGTGTCCATAGGTGTTTTAGTTGGTTTAGCACCCAACAAGCCTGTTTCTTCCAGCAAATCAAGCACATATTTCCTCTGGCACAGGTTAATACCATACTTAGATCTTGCTACCTCTATCCCTAAGAAGTATTTCAGTTTACCAAGATCCTTTGTCTGAAAATGATCTTGTAGATAAGTCTTTAGCCTGGCAATACCCATGTTATCATTTCCGGTAATAACAATATCATCTACATACACCACCAACAGTATTTTTCCTCCTGGAGAGTCGTGACTGAATACAGAATGATCAACTTGGCACTGTCTCATACCAAACTTCTTTACCACCTCACTGAACCTACCAAACCATGCTYGAGGAGACTGTTTAAGCCCATATATAGCCTTCCTTAGTCTGCACACCTTACCATCCTCCCCCTGAGCAACAAACCCTGGAGGTTGCTCCATGTAGACATCCTCGAGTAAGTCACCATGCAAAAAGACATTCTTGATATCAAGATGATATAGCGGCCAATCATACATAGTTGCAAGAGAGATCACAACACGAACCGACCCTATCTTAGCAACTGGTGAGAAGGTCTCTGTGTAATCAATGCCATAGGTTTGGGAGTATCCTTTTGCAACCAATCGCGCTTTCAGGCGTTCAACACTACCATCAGGCAGATACTTAACTGTATAAACCCATTTACAACCAACAGCCTGCTTTCTAGGAGGAAGAACGGTGAGGTTCCAAGTATGATTATGATGAAGGGATGAAAGTTCTTCCATCGCACAACACCACCCTGGAGAGGCAAGGGCTTCTTGGACATCTTTAGGGACAACAACTGATGATAACAAGGTGACAAACTTGTCACGGGGCTAAATGTTGGGGCCCCGTGCGGCACTCACTAGTCGACGAGTAAGCCTATGAAGTCAATAAGAAAGCAACAAAGCAACAACAAATGCACACAAATTAGACAAAATGCTCTTTGTATTCAATGAATTGGTGGCAAGCACAAGCACAATTTAATGTCGAGGGGATCTCGTGCTTAACCTTTACACGCTACTGATTCACTCAACTACATACCTCCCCTCAAAGAGTACGTTAAGCTTTAGGGGAAGTGATAGAAGGATACAACAAAATATTGAATATGCATACTACTATTTACATAATTGCCATTGGCATACCCCCCTTTACAAAGAGTCCAATGACCCCACCCAAGACACATGAAGACACTTAGATGGCGTGCTAATGGCGTGCTTGATGGTGGTGATGGTGGCTGATCCGTCACAGTCTCCCCCACTCAATTCAATCTTCATCCTCGAAGATTCTTCCTAAGGTACTCGTCCAGCTTCACTGCGAACGGAAGGAGGTCTTCAGCAAGCTTCCAGGTGACTTCTTTTGCAGGTCCCTTCTACTTCACCAGGTACTCCCATTCTGATGTTTGGGAGGATTGGGACAACCTATGGTTGAGGATGGAGTCAAGGGATTGGTTCTTGGGTGGTCGGTAATTTGGATGTGCGCGTTGACTTTGGTTTCGGGAGGTATCTTGGTTGTCAGCATGGTAGGGTTTAAGTTGGCTTACATGGAAGACGGGGTGGACTTTTAGCCAAGGGGGTAGTTTGAGTTTATAGGCTGATGCACCTACTTTGGCTAGGATTTCACCGGGTCCCTCATATTTTCTCACAAGCCCGGGATGCACTCTTCGAAAAAACCTAAGGCAATGGGTATGGAGTTTTACTAAGGCCAGGTCACCTACTTGGAAGTTCTCAGGTCGTCTACCCAAATCAGCCCACTTCTTCATTCTTTTGGAGGCTTTCTCTAGTGAGGCTCTAGTAAGGTCAAGGCATTCTTTCCATTCCTTGGTGAAAGTGAAGGCTCGAGGGCTTCTTCCTTGATGGTCGTTGACGGTGCTGTGTGGACATCTTGGTAGTTGGCCGATGATGACTTCAAAAGGACTTTGATTGGTGGAGGAGCTCTTCTGCGTGTTGACGGAGAACTGTGCAATGTCCAGCAATCGAACCCAATTCTTCTGTGTAGCTGATACAAAATGGCAGAGGTACTCTTCAAGGAGGGAGTTCATTCGCTCTGTCTGCTCATCTGACTCTGGATGGTTGCTGCTGGAGAAGTTCAAGTTTGAACCAAGTAGCTTGAATAGCCCTGTCCAGAAAGCACTAGTAAATCGGGGATCCCGATTACTAACAATGTTCTGTGGGACTCCCCAATACTTCACTACGTGCTTGAAGAAAAGATATGCCGTGTCTTCAGCTGAGAGGTGCTTTGGTGTTGGGATGAAAGTGGCATATTTGGAAAATCGATCAACAACAACAACAACAATGGATGTATACTCTCCCACCTTAGGAAGGCCGCTGATGAAGTCCAAGGAGACACTCTCCCAAGGTTGTGATGGGGTTGGAAGAGGTTGTAAGAGTCCAAGTGGCTTGGTGTGCTCAGGCTTGTCTTGCTGGCAAATCAGGCATGTCCTTGTATATTCCCGAACATCTTCCTCCATACGAGGCCAATAGTAGGCATGTTGTAGAAGGGCCAAGGTACGCTGCCACCTAGGGTGTCCTGCCCACAAGCTGTCATGACATTCATGTAGGAGAGTCTTCCTCTAGTCTTCAACTCTCGGTACAAACATTCGCCTTCCCTTTGTCAAAAGAAGGCCTTCATCAACCCAAAATCACCTAGTCTTTCCTTCACGAGCCGCTGCCAATAAACTTTGAGCAATGGGGTCCTTCTGGAGTCCTTCCTTGATGCACTCAATGAGGTCCAGTCTGATTTGGCTTCTAGAGGGACCTTCGCCTACGGATAAGGCTGCAAGCTCGGCCTTCTTGCTAAGTGCATCAGCAACCCTATTCATCGGCCCTGGCTTGTACTCTAGAGTCATGTCGAACTCTGCTAAGAAATCTTGCCATCGCGCTTGCTTAGGGCTTAACTTCTTCTGTGACTGAAAGTAACTAGTAGCTATTGTTGTCAGTCTTGACCACGAACTTGGAGCCTAGCAGGTAGTGTCGCCATGTGCGGAGGCAGTGGACAATGGCKGTCATCTCCTTCTCTTGCACATT